GCAGCTGACTGCTCAGTGTGCTCAGCTTGCCCCTGGAAGAGGCAGTTGGTGGGTGCTGGGTGCTCAAGGGGAGATGCATCAGATGGCCTAGACGTGCCCTGCTGCAATGGAAACCTCAGTTTTCAACATCCCAGTTTCATTCCCAGCAGTAACGGTATTTAAATTCAGCCCAATGCATCTCATTTGCTGCTTGTTTTAAAGAGTGAGAAAGGGTGAAAATCCATTTTCATGGGGCTGAAGAAGAAGATGGCAGGTTTACCTGGGCGCTCGAGTTGCCCAACTGCTGCCCGGGCAGCAGTGCACTGCAGTACACTCCTAGGGATGGAGGCTGAAAGGCTCGAGGGATGCCAGCACCAAGGGATGCCAACACCAAGGGTGCCCAGTGTCCCTGGGTCTTCATGCTGGTGTCACTGGTTGGTGCCGTCGCCTGCTGCCTGCACCGGGGAGGCACGAGGGTGTGAAGCTGCAGGACCTGCTCTGCGGTGGAAGCCATCACCTGTTGCCGGCATTCTGTGGAGCCGAGGGCAGGGATGGAGGGACACGGGGCTTTCTGAGAAGGCATGTGGTCCCCACACCAAAGTGGGTGGCTTTTGGATAACAGCAGGTCCAGGGAGCACGCCGTGCGCTGGGTCCTTGCACGCCACGCACTGGGTCCTGCACACTGCCGCATTTCCAGGTCTCAACAGAAGCATTTTGGGGGGTGGGGAAAGCTGTGCTGTGCACCAAAGGATGCTGAGCAGGGTGCAGGACCGTGCTCTCCCCCATGGGACCGAGGTTAGTGCCTGCGCCGCAGCTCTCCGGCAGGACAGGGGCCCCCCGGCACGTCGCCCTGTTGTCATTAGACTCCATCCCATCCCTCCCTATTTTAAAGCCCTATTCTTTCCCTGTCCCTCTGATAAGAAATGCTAATGATGTGATGAAATTGGATAGGTCGGTCGCCTTCTCCTCCTAATGGAACTCTTGTGTTCGTTAATTTGCTGTTTTTAATGGGCTGATTGTTCTCCTGTGCTGGGGGAACCACGTGAGCCCTTCAGTGTGTTTTGCCATGGTCAGATGTGAGGTGGTGCTTGAAGGCAACTGAACCTTGGTGCTCAATAATTGCAGAGCAATTTGGAGACAAGACCCAAATGTATAATTTATCGGCGCTTCATTCATCCCTGTCACGAGCGGTCGCAGAGATGCTCATGCCGCTCGGCAGAGCCCCCTCGGGACCCATGCCCACCTCCCCACACACCGACTCTGCTTGAGGTGGGGGAAGATAAATCCTTGCAAATTAATGAGGATTTCCTTGGCCCCACAGCAAGTAATTGCAGAGCCCCAAGCCTGCGGGCAGAACTCGCTTGCTTTCTGCCGGCCTCGATACTACTGTCACCATAGAGGGAGGTGGGTTGGGTGCAGAGCGATGCTCAGCCAGGCTTCCCACTGCCGGGATGAGGATTTTAGCTCTTGGCAGGAGCGTGGTGATGGAGGTAGGCGAGGAACCAGCCCTTCCCTATCCCCCCCATCCCAGCTGGACCCGCTGCCTGCTTGTAATGGTGCAAAGTGCCTGGGAAATGCCCCCACTCGACTCTGCCGTGCTTTGGCTCTGGGTGCCAAGGGGGTCCGGGGGAGCAAGGAGAGATGCCCCAGCCCCGGTGCTGCCGGCTGGGGGGAGCTTTCCAGCCACGTAATTCCCTGGGACTGGATCCATCCCCAGGGACCCAAGCAGAGCCCTGCTGACAGCCATGGCCGGGAGCAGCTAGGCACAGCAGGTAATAACCAAGCGAGGCCTGGGGAATAAGTCCCCTCCATGCCCTTGCTGTCCCAGCACTGAGGCAGCAGAGGTGGCTCCCGGTCCGCAGCGGTTTTTCTAACAGCCTTTGTACCCAGCTGCCCGCAGCAGCCAACGAAAGCCCGGTCTTCCAATGCTGCCCACTGCACCGCGCTGGCTGGTTAATGTCCCAGTTAGCTTCATTAGTTTGGCTGGTAAAATGTGTCACTACTGTCCTCAAGCCGTGCCGCAGGCTGGGCTGGCACCAGCTCTGCTCCTGAATGGCAGCACCGGCAAGAGCTGCCCCACAGCCCGAGCCCAGTTGGGCAGCATGGGCTGCAGGCAGCACAGGGTGCAGGCAGCGGAGGGGGCAGGATGCAACCCCTGGGGGACGTTCACCTTTGCAGGCTGCTGTGGGGATGGGGATCTGCGGGCTCCAGCCGAGGTGGCTGGTCCTTCCACCCCAATGCTGCTGCACTGCGGGGTGTGGATCCGTCCTTACACCATGGGGAGGGCTGGTGGGGTGCACGGAGCAGCATTGTGGGGTGCTGCCAGCATCCCCCATCTTGGATGGCCACCAGCAGGGTGGGGTCCCCCCTATGAGCCCCCCGACATCCCAAGCCTCCGCCGATATGGGGAGCATTGGTGCTGCCTCTATTTGCCGCACTTGGTGTTTGTAAACCGTAGGCAGCGAGGGAGCCGTAAGACGAGCACATTATCTCCTCCAGACAATTAGCAGAAGCATTAATGGAATATATGCAAATGTGCAGTAATTGACCTGCGACTCCACAGTTCATGATGGAGAAGGATGAGCTCCAGATGGCTTAATGATAGTAATTTAAGCCCCTTCTTTATATGCCATGCTTCCTTGCCATAGCCCAGCAGGACCAAGCCCAGGCAGGGAGGAGGGCAGGCGGCAGCGGGGATGCTGGGGACCGGGACAGCCCTGGGGCCATCCCATTTGCACCCCAGCAGCATCCCAAACTTTCCTGTATTCAGTGCCCGTATAAAGTCCCGGGAAGGTGGGTTGAAGTGCAGAACAGCTGGTTGTGCCGGCACAAGAGGGGAAGCCATGAGTTCCCACGGAGCAGCCCTTCCCCACTGGCCATCGGCCAGGGACCGCGGGAGAGAGGCCAAGCACTGACAGGTCCATGGGACTGCTGGGCTGGGGGATGTTCGCCCACCATGGTGGGGGCTGGGTCACCCGCCTTGGCTGTGCCAGGGTGCTGCCTGTGCCTTCATCCTGCCACAGAAGTGCCTGCAGAGGCAAAAGCCCAAATAGCAAACAGTCTCCTTGCTTGGCTCCTACTCCAAGTTTACTCAGCCTTTACTCAGACTGTGTTGGCCCCAGGCATGGCTGAGGAGGGGGCAGTTTGCGGGAGCCTGAGGGGCTCATGCCCCACCAGGGATCTGCCCCACGCAGCCTGCCCAGCCCTGAGCTCCATAAAATTTCAGCCAACAGAGCCAGAGGTATTTGAATAACCACTCTGGGAACCCAAATTAAAATATTTATGTATAATTCATGCCATATGTTCCACCAATATTTTTTATTTAATCAACTGAAGACAGATGGCAGGAACACAGAGGCCATTAAACTAATGGCACTTTGTCTTTCCATTTATTTTCGTCTCCTTTCCTAAAATAAGATGAGTCCGTGACAGGCAGCACACCCCAGGCATGGGGCTGTCCCCACACAACCCATGTGCTGGCAGGGTATGGTGGCGGTGGCTTTTCCCACCATGAAGCCAGCCCCACCATGTAACTCATCGTGGCGTTGTCCTGGGCAGGGCTGGAGTGAATCCTCCATAGCTGGGGGGTTTGGAGGAGAGAAATCCCCCCAAACGAAAAGCCCCTGGGGGGGGCTGCAACAGACTGTCCCTTCCCCGGGCTCAGCTGCTCTCCCTGTGCCGAGAGCCACCAGGGATGGTCCGGGGTAGCCCCGACCATGGTGTTCCCGGGGCAGCACCATGTCGATCCCGGCTGGCGGAGCGCAGACGGGGATGGTCAGCCCTTCAGTCCTGGCTGGAGAACAGAGGATGCCCTGGCCTCAACATCTGCAAAAGCCTCACTGGGGGCATGATGGGCTGAAATGCGGCCACAGGGCTATGTGGGAGAGCCACGCTGGGGATATCATGTTCCTGTGGGGCCTCCTGTCCCACTGCCCACCCAGCTCCCAGGGCAGGCACTTGCTTGCTGGGGGCTTCGCCTGGGGCCGGCTGGTGCATGGAGACGTTCAGTTCGAGGGGTGAAACACGTGTGCATGAGTGTGCGTGCATGTGCATGTGCGAATGCGTGGGTGTGTGCGTGCGTGTGTGCGTGCACAGCTCATCCTCTTGTGGGTGAAATCAGGTGAAATCAGAAATCCTCCACGTGTCCCAGAGCCATGCTGTAGCACCTCTCCTGCATGACGAGGCAGAGACGTGTGGGCTCTGGAGTCGGGACTCATGCCCGCATCTCTGTCCCCCTGTCCCTAACCCTGGGCTGCTGGCAGCCAGCATCGCTCCCGCTGCGCTGACATCTCCCACCTGTCCCGCATCCTTGTGCCGGGGTGGGGGGGGAGGTTGAACTGCCCTGGGGACTGCCATCCTCTCCGCATCCTGGGATGCTTTCCTAAGTGTGCCTTTCTCTTTGACTTGCAGGTGGAGATTTCTTGCCCTGGGAGTGAGATGAATGGCGCTTCGTTAGACAAAGGGTCCCAGTCAGCATTTCAGGCCCCGAGACGCGTCCAGGGACTTTCCATTCTTTGTCTGAAAGGGCGACGGTGCTGTTTCCATTAGAGAGATGCTTGCGAGAGCCGGTGCCGCCGAGCGGAAAGGCGAGTGAGAAGAGCTGCGTCAGCTGATCGGCTTTCAAATCACCTTCAAACCCTCGATTTCCTTAACATGATCCCTCCATCAGCCGAGTCTCGGGGGCACGGCCGGGGGGCTTTGCCGGGAGGAGAATAAACCGGGGACGGCGGTGACAGCCAGCGCTGGAGAAACCTCCCGTGCACGGTGGGGGAGCCTCAAAATCCACCCTCGCTGCCTTCCCCAGCCTTCCCGGACTTTTTAGGGTCAGGCGATAGCTTTGCACGGCCTCACCCTGCAGCCCCTGCTGTGCTTTCGGGGCACCCGTCTGCTTCCCTGGTACATCCCTGGGAACCACCTCCAGCCCGGGGGGGGGGGCACCCCACCCCCCCCCTCGGAGCATCCCTGGGGCCGGAGAGCAGCTCCCCCGCGGCGCCGGCTGCCGGGGAAGGGATGAAGACGCTATGGCCAAATTATTGGTAAAACTCCAGCGGTACTTTCGGCGAAAACCCGTGCGTTTCTTCACGCTGCTGGCTCTCTACCTGGCGGCCGGCAGCTTGGTTTTCCTGCATTCCGGCTTTGCCGGGGAGCCCACGGTGACGGGGAGCCAGCGTGGCCCTGGGGCCGGCGAGGGGCCAGGGCTGCCCTACCTGGGGGTGATGCAGCTGAGCCGTGGTTTCAAGGCGGCGGCGATGATGCCGGAGGGGGGACGGCGACACGGACCCTGGTTCAAAAGCACCTCCAAGGAACCGGCAGAAAGGGCCAAAGCCGGAGACTACGGCAGCACCCGGAGCCGGGCACTCAGGGGCAGGAGCGGCCGCGAGAAGGAGGAGGACAGAGGTAAGGGCTGGGGACACGCGTGTCCAGGCAGGGGTCCCTCCTTTTGGCGTCTCCCAGGGAAAGCCTTGTGCACTGGGGCAGTTGTCTCCGAGCTGGTTTGGTTGTGTACCCCCACCAGGAACAAATTTCTGAGCACACACCCCCATTGAATGTGTATTTATTTATTTACAAACCATATGCATGTGCTACCCAAGCACTAAGATTTTCTTCCCGCACCCCAGAGGACTGTCCTGCGCATCCCCTGGGGCGCAGCACTCCACTTTGGAGTCCACTGGTCCAGAGGATGTTCCTAGAAAGTTCTTCTCCTCCCTCCTTCCCCTCCTTCCTCCCTCCACAAGTGCCAATAATCCGTTTTCCTTTTTCCATTTGCACTTTTCCCACTTGTGCATCACCAAGCTCCGAGGCACACCTTGCTGGGACAGGTGCTTTTGGAAGTGCCAGTGGGGAGAGGCTGCACCCCATCTTCATCCCACCCTTTGGTTGTGCCACTGCCCAAATTCAGTTTTAATTCTGTTAGCCCCAATGAACACAAAAACCAGGTTTGTGGCCTGTTGTTTGCATTGCTGGGGTGTTCAGGCAGGGGCCGGCTGCGATTGCCTTGCAGGCACTGAAGTGCAGGCAGACGCGGGTGCAGGCAGGGCTGGGGTTTCGCCTTTCAAGCAGCCTGGCTGCCGCCTGGGGTTCGTGGTGTATTGTCAAGTGCGACTGTTATTAATGAACAAGGATAAGCGAACGTAGTAGTTCTCATTGATTTTTAAAATGGCAACTATTTATCCTGAAGGCAGCTGTATGCAGAGTCGCATGGTCTCTCTGAATTTGGGTGGCTGAGAGCTGCCCATCAGGGCTTTTGCATCCCAGTGGTTATTCAGCTTGTTGCCTCCCTCACTGGCACCCACGAGTACCCAGTGCCAGCAAACCTCACCCAAAGACACCCCGCGTCCCCTCTCTGCCAGCTCTGCAGCCCCCACAGTGAAGGAGCATCTTGCGCCTTCAGCTGCTGTGAAAGCCGTTATGATTTCTTGTCGTTAATAAAGAGGGCTGGCGAGAAGGAGCAATCCAGCTTCTTGCTCCAGTGCTGTGCAGCTGCAGCAGCGGCATGCTGGATGCCTCGGCATTCAGGGCAGGAGCTGCAGCATCAGCTGGTCGAGGAAAGTCGGAAGGGAATCGGGAGTGGGAACTGCTGGAGAGGTGTCGGGATGCTGCTGGGCTCTTCTCTGCCTGTCATTGCTCGCTCCCCTCTCCTGACCCCCAGCGTGGGTGAAATCTGGGGGGGGAAGCACACCCATGAGGAGCCCCGGAGCCTGTGAAGGCTGCTTTGCTTAAGCAACCCTGTGCCCCAAAGCTGGTCTTGCTCAGGAGCTGCACCATGGGGCTTGGCACATGCGATTCCCCAGGCATCCCAGGATGGGAGCCACATCTACCGGACCCTTGGTAGATCAGGGACTGTGTGGCTCAGAGAGAAGCAGGAGTCCCCAACCCCATGGTAAATTGAGGGTTTCAAAGGGGTCACCGTGCTGAGCCAGGCTTGGTCCCCCCTAACGCAGGCTGTTCCCAGGGCAGGGGTGGCTCCTCCTCGGCCAGCGGCCCCGCAGCAGGTCTGTGCTCATGTTCACTGTGGGCAAGATGCACGGTCCAGGCTTGGAAGCAGGAAGAAAAATGGCTTGTGGTGCTTAAGGGATCTTCTCATGCTAAAATGAGATGAAAGAGGGTTTCCCCATCATGCCCCTGCACAGAGGGGTCTCCGGGAGCATTTCCGAGGCGCATGCGACTGCATTGCTCCATTAATGCGAATTGACGTTTAGCGAATCCTCACCAGATGGTTCGTGAGCCCAAGCTGTCAGTCACCATAAAAACCCCAAGCAGTGCTCCTGTCCCTGGCCATATGCAACATGTCCACCGCGATTAACCTCCACCGGTGCTGCCGCCTCCCCGTGCCCAGCCATGGCGGGGGCTGCGAGGGACAAGGAAGGGAATGCTGGGCTCAGGCATCGCTGGCTTTAGCTGCTCGTAGGTGGCCTGGGAATATCATCTTTCCCCTTTGTAATCTCACACATGAAGTCTCGGCGTGGGCAGCAGTTAATGGGAGCCAGCAGAGACCCGGCAGCTGGAGGGGATGCAATGCCACCACACGAGCATCTCGGCAACTCCTGAGCACGATACTGCGGAGAAATTCTCCAGCTTGAGAAATCCCCCGAGCCCAGCGTGCCCGACTTGCCTGTGGGGCTGGTGGAGCCTCAGGGGATGGGCACTGAGCACCCACCTCACTCCCCTGCTCCTCTCCAAAGTGCCTGCCGCTTCCCTGGGCCGTCTGGCAGGAGCAGGCAGATCTTAACGGTGGTGGTAATTAAGCAGGGGACAGCTTAAGAAGGCAGCTGTGGAAGCTCTGCCATGTGAAATTGTTCCAGAGGGAATACTGGTCCTAAAATCAGCTGTGGTTTAGCTAGCGTGAATATGCAGCTCTGGTGCTGTGCCTCCCTCCTCCTCCTCTTCCTCCTCCTCCCTCTCCTGCCGCGCTGGTGAAGCCCCAGGGCCAGGCCAAGGCACGGGTGGAGGGCAGCCCCATCTGCCAGGGAACGGCTTTGGCTCATCTGCATCCCCGTGTGAAGGGGGTCCATCCTGCATCCTGCCTCAAATCTGGGGACATTTGTGGATGGTGAAGCCGGAGAGGGGAGCAAGCCCCAGCCCCAGCCTGGCGATGCCCAGCATCGCTTCCTCTCTGCCACATCCATCTCCGGTCCCTTGCTGGATGTCTCCAGCCATTCCCAGCCGGGGCTGGGCTCCCCCGTGACACATGAACAAGCAATGCCATGAAGAAAGGGGGACTGGTCACCCCAGGCATGCAGCCGAAGACGTCCCTATACCTTCTGACACCAGCGCAGTTGCCCCAGGGTTGATTAGCACGGGCCACCCTTCCTGAAGCTGCTGTCACCAATATCCACCCGTTCCTTCCCTCCATGCTGACATGGAGCATTTCCCTTCTCGCATGCCGGACTTGTATTCATACAGCCGGGGAGAGCCCCCAGCCCATCACTGGCGAGCCGACAGTGCTGTGCGGAAGGCAGAGACGGCTGCAGAGGGAGCATCGGGGGGAGCTGGGAGGGCTCAGTGCCCAGCATGAGGCTTTTGATCAACCAGCTGGAAAATCAAGGGCAGATATATTTGTTTCAAGCATCATCCTGCAGAACAGCCCTGTGAAAACACTTCTGTTCTGCATTTAGCTTGCTAAACGGTGGTGGTGGGTGCTGGGAGAGCCTGGCGAGGGGCTGGGGCTACTCAAGCAGAGAGGGAGGATGGACAGACAGAGGTGTTGCCCCCCAACAGACCAACTCCTGGCACGAGAGCTGGGTCCCGATGGAACCCTCTGGAGAACGTGGCTGGGGATTTGCTGCGATGCTCCCCAGGGGGGTCATCAGTGACCCAAAGTGATTGCTGCCGGGGCAGGGGAGCAGCCCTGAGTGCACCCCGCGAGTTGGGGCGGCGTTGCAGGGCTACAACTCGCTTCCCCACGCAAGCGGGGTCACCAGCTGGCCCCGAGCACGGGTGCATCGCCCAGGGGGTCCCTGCTTGCACCCCCTGCCTGCACCCGACAGGGACCCCAGCGCTGAAGCGGTTTGTGCGCATGTGCTGCACCACGGCCAAGAGCTGCGGTGCTCTCTGGGAGACCAAGCTTTACATTAAGCTTTACACTAAGATGTTAAACATGAATTTGCAATGCCAACAGCCCCAGTGGCCAGCCTAGCTCCTGGAAGAGTGAGACATTTGGGGAGTTTAATGACTATTGGCTGGATCTGTATGTCTGTTCACACATGTGTTTCCAACATGTTCCAAAATTCCTCTTGGCCCCACGAGAGCTGCGTGCCAGGGCAGGTCCCCCTCTTGCTGCTCAGCACCCTCCGGCAAGCTCTGCCTAACCCAACCATGCACATTTCAGCATCTCCCCTGCTCGCTCCTCCTTCACTTATTGTCCTCGTATCTCCCTAATTATTCCAGTTGCTTTCCTAATAAATTGCAGCACGTATACGTCAAGAGCAATGGATCAAAGGTAATGCACAGCAGTCACCGGCTCTGTACAAATGGCTGGAGTAATCCTGCTCCGGTTAGATCTGTCATGACCAAAATGAGCTGACCTCCTGAAACCTGCTCAGCACTGCGGAAATGCCACGTTATGCTGAGAGTAATTGGGAGCAATTGAGTTATGGCTTTTTGGTGATTAAAGTTATCAGGCACATTTCTCTCAATCTTTCTCCTCCATCTTCCTCCAGGCTGGCTTGGGGAAGCTGGTTTGCAGCGCCATGTGGGGGGGTGGTGTGGGGGGGGAGTATATGCGTGGGGCATGCCACTGGTGGGGTGTACACATGGAGTCGGTTCAGGGACCCCCAAACAGATGCAAAATGCAAGCAGGAGGTAAGAAGTATTATCCCATAGTGTGGTTTGGTATTGGAGGCACACATGCGGAGATGCCCTGCTATTAGAGGGATAATTTGGTGTGTGATGGAGCCACAGAGATGGAAGGAGAGACACGGGGTGGTTATCATATATGGGAAGATGCACCTTGCTTGCCTAGAGCCATGGCTTCACTCTTGACCAGAGCAGGTGAGCCCTCACCTCTGCTCCTGCCCAGTCCTGTGCTGCCAGATATCCCAGTGCTTTCCCAAAGCCCCTTGGCCGGGGTGCTGGGGCCAGAGCCCTTGGTGGCACAGCTGGAGGGGTGTTTGGTGCTGTGAAAAACAAATCCTTGGCTTGGGGTCCGGTGGCCCTGAATGGACAGGAGCCTCAGGAGCCTCTCCTTTTGTGGCCCCATGTTGGGACTCTGCAGCAGCAGCTCAAAGTCAGAGGCCAGTGGCCACCACATGGGCTCCAGGATTTCTCCAGGACAGGGCTGCCCCATGCCAGCATCCTGCAGAAAGCGGTCTGAGGGTGGAGCAGATATTTCAGGATAATAAAAAGCAAAAGATTGCCATTATATTCGTCGAGGATGTGTACCTGAAACAGGGAGTGAGGTGAACCAGACTGGTATGGGAGTCCAAGCCAGCTCTGCCATTGCCCCCGGGCTGGTAAGACCCAGCCACTCTTCCCCGGGGCCACCCTCCCCTCTCCCTGGGTGGCCAACCTGCACGTCCTCTGCCAGAACATGTTAATGGACACCTTGTTGGCTGATTGCTGGGTGGCTAATCCCACTGGCTTCCAAAACCCCTGTCCTCCTTGGGCAGCAGTGGCAGCAAGGATGCTGAGCATCCCTGCACCAGCGCTGCATCCCTGCATCGGCGGCAATACATCTTCCCCACAGCAAATGCTCAGATGGGAGCAGAAGCAGGGCACTAATGAGGGCACTAACGAGAGCACTAATGAGGGCACCTAACGAGGAGACTGAGTGAGGACAGGGTGGGTGCTGGCAGTACAGGGCTGCCCAGGGATGGCTCGTGGACTGGCTTGCCCCTAACAAGAGCCCACAGCCAACACAGAATGTTGCAACAGGCATAGAGGCAAGGAGATGGCTGTTTGTTTTCAGATTATTGGGAAAGGCTACATTTGTCAAATAAATGATTTCATCGTAACTATTTATTCAGCTCTATTCCCTGTCTAGCAGTATCTTCATTTGCTCTCAGCACAGGCATCAGCCTTTGTTAGTGCTGGGCAAATATCCTCCACATTGATGTCTGGGACTGGGGAAAATGAGCTGCTGGCTGAGGAAAAATTGTTTTAAACCATATTTCTCCATTCTACCCACCCCTGTGTTCCTGGCAGGGCAGAGTGAAGGGGATGGGTTATTTTACCATGTAACTCATCTCTTTTTGGAGCTGCTTTGCTCAGTTTTAAGGCCAGTGGAAAGGAAGAGGACAGAGAGGAGAAGCCTCAGAGCAGAGACACAGCATCCTTTCAATCCATAGAAGGTGTTTCTGGGCTTTACCTACCTTTCCTTGCAGCGTTTGCAGGGGCATGTTGTACCCAGAGCACGTGTTTCTAAAGCAAACGAACAGGGTGCATTGCTGCACTTCCCTATTTAGGGAAAAATTAAAAGAGGGGGGTGGGAATTGGTGGGCTCAGCCTCGGCTGGTTCTTACCCCCTTCTCCTCTACCCTTCCCCCAGCAAGATACATTGGCTGCTACGTGGACAACACTCGTCGGCGAACGCTGCGCGGCGTGTCCTTCTTTGACTACAAGAAGATGACAGTCTTCCGTTGCCAGGACAACTGTGCCGAACGGTAGGGCGGGAGATGGGCACCGCATCTTCATCAATTCCCGCACACCGCCAGCGTTTCTCTGTTGTCACAGTTCCCTGCTCCGGCTGCTCTCCTCCCCTTCCTCCTGCCTTCCTTCTTTTTTCTTTAGATTTACTTATTTTGATTTTTTTTTTTTAATTCACTGGTGTTTTCAAAGACCCCAGTTTCCTCCCCCCGAAAAAGGGTGGGCAGGATGATGGGCTCCGTCCTTGTATGGGGCAGGGGGATGTAAGGGCTCCAATTTGCTGCTGGAGGAGCTTTGAGCACTTCCATCCATGCAGGGCTGGCCCCACCAAAATGCCGTCCCCACCAAAACACCCTCCCCAGACCTTCCAAGCTGTTGAAGGGTGTCCGTGAGCAGCTGGGGAGACATGTGGATCCCTTGCTGCCAAAGTTTTCTCCTTTCCCAGCATTACATGAAGGATGTACCCTAAATGTGGTCTGTGCCAGCAGGGCGGGTGGCATTGCAGGCAGTTTGCTGCCTCCAAACTCCCCCGGAGCCGAAGCCCGTCTGTGCAGCATCCCACAGCACCTGGGGACATTGCTGCAAAGGGCCATCGCTGATCACTGGGACAGTGGCACGTCCCCTGCATAGGGCTCATCAACCTCAGCAGGATGCTCACCGTGACGGACGCATGCCATCAGCCGAACCGAGTGCTGCAGCGCATCCTTGATGGTGATGATGCAGGGCTGCTCCACACCAGAGCCCCTCCCCGCAGCACCAGCAGCCCCATGGTGGGACTTACCGGTTCGGCACTGCCCCTCTGGAGCAGGTTTCCAGCTCCGCTGGCACTTGGCAAGCACCAGCCTGTGCTGGAATCCTTCCCCCTTTCAAATCCAATCTGTATCGAGCAGCACAGCTCTCCTGCTTTGAAGCCCAGCAAAGTCCCCGTCACTTACTCCTGCCCCACCACCACCCGTTACATCCTCCCTGCCTGTAAGAAATGTCGCCATCTCCTGCTTTATGATCTCTGTGGCCCATGGAGACCTTTCTCTTGAATAGAATAGAATAGAATAGAATAGAATAGAATAGAATAATATTTTTAGTTGGAAGGTACCTACAATGATCTCCTAGTCCAGCAATGCATCCTTGGGATGCAGTGCTGCTTCCAGCGCTGCGTGGGAGTTGGCTGCAGCAGGGATGCTTCTGCAAAACCCCACAGAGCTGGAGGGATGCCTGGGGACATGCTGAGCCCCTCCGTCTCCCTCTCCCCAGGGGCTACCTCTACGCAGGGCTGGAATTCGGTGCTGAGTGCTACTGCGGGCACAAGGTCCAGGCATCGAACGCCAGCGAATCTGAGTGCAACATGGAGTGCAAGGGAGAGAGGAGCAACATCTGCGGCGGGGTCAACCGCCTCTCCATCTACCGCCTGGAGCTGGCCCAGGAGTCTGCCAGGAGATGTAAGTCAGCAGCATGGATGCGGCTCCCGCCTCGGACCCGAAATGGGGGAACCCCTCGTGGTGCCGGTGGGGGCGAGCCCCGGCATCCCCATGCTGTGTAAGCTGGGTCACGGCTCAGGAGAGGGGGTTTGAAAGTGGTTCAGGTCTGTGGCTGGGGCAGTTTTGCTCCTGCAGACTGTGGGGATCCCCCTGGGAAATGGCTGCTGGCTGGGGCTGGGTGGAGTGGGGAGCCCCAAGGACCTCACTGGGAATTCAGGGCATTTTGGGGGACTTTGGGTGAAGACCTCTTTCCCGATGGCCAAACAGGACCATTATCATATTCAATGTGTGCTGCTGGTGGAGCTGGCTGCGGGATGAAGGATGTGAGGGAGCTCCAGAAAGAGCCAAGGGTGCTCCCTGTCAGAAGTGCTCGTTTGGCTCCCAATTAGGCAGCACTATAATTATCCACATTTGCTGCTTTTCTTTCCTCGTCCTCAAGCAATGGGAAAGAGAGTGGTGGCGTTCAGGGCTCCCATCACCAGGCACCCAGTGGAGTGATCACCCTGGAGAGGGGCCAAGGGTGCCTAGTACGTGCAGCAGTGGGCGAGGACCCAGCACAGGACCCCTCAGGGTACCAATGCCAGGGGGGACCAGGCCTGCCCTCCTTGCTGGCTCCATCCCTCATACAGCCTGTGATCAACTGAGTTGGTAAAAATAGGGACAAAAAAATAAACCTGACTTTGCTGTCAGGGCTTTTGCTCTGATTTTGCACCGTGAGTGGCCAGGTAAGCTCGTTAGCGAATGTGGCTTCACAGACGGTGGGTGACAAGAGCTGGAGAAAAGCAGCCACTGTGCCGACGGGTGGCTGGAGACGAGCGATGGGGAACAGCGATGGGGACGCTGGGGCACGCGGAGGCTCCTGCTCCCATGCCTGGGGGGCAAAGGGTGGCAGTGACATTATTTTTGGGGTGCAGCCCCTGCTCCTAGGGCCTGGGCCAGCATCACTCTCAGCACCACTGTGGCCCCTCTCCCTTGCAGATGGCAGTGCGATATTTCGGGGGTGCTTCCGCCGGCCGGACAACGTCTCCGTCGCCCTGCCTGTCAGCCAGCTCATGCTGAACATGTCGGTGGACAAGTGCGTGGACTTCTGCACCGAGAAGGTACTGGGGGGGCTGGGGCGGGGGGGCGCAGGTCAAAAGCTTACTCATCTAAATCATCGTCAGAAAGGGTCACACGGGGTAAATTTTAATCTGCTTTAGTGTCATAATTATGTGTATCCAAACTACAAAGGTTCAAATTGATTGACTGTGTCTTTGCTGTGGGGAGGGACTGGACCACAGCTGCCCACAGGAGCAGCACCCGCTGCCTGCCCTGTCTGCTCCCCACGGCTCTGCCCCCCCAGCAGGCAGCGGACCCCCGTGGGGGGCATTGGGCAGGGGTTTCACGGGGTCCTGCTCTGGTCCAGGGATGCTGCAGTGCAGTTTGCTCCTGGGGCACGATGCCTATAAGCAGGCAGGGGAAAAGCTGACAGGGGGCATTGCTGGAGTATTTATTAATTAAAATTAGGTAAATTATCAGGCAGAGGAAGAGAAAGACATGCAGGTGGGGACAGTTGTGTCCTCCCTTCATGGCTTCCTCAGCAGGGGACGGTGGGGAATAAACAATCACACCAGTTAAATACAAGTGGCTGCTCCATCACTGGCTCCACTTTCCCATAGCTGCTGGGAGACCTTGGGGCTGGGAGGTGTAAATAACGGGAGCCCCTTGATTAACCTGGCACTGCCGCAACCTGGTGGTAAATTGCCTGTCAGCCAGTGAATGTGTCTCATAACTCTGGGCTTGGAAACGCCGGCGAGGCTGCCATGGGGCTGTCTGATGGCTCTTAGTAACCTCGGTGTGGGTGACAAACTCACAAATGATGTGCCATGGCTCTGCCGGGAGCACCAGCACCCGATGCATTGCTGTCCATGCCAATAGGCAGCTCGGCTGTGCCCAGGAAAGTTGAGGCTCGGGTGGTTTTGGGTGTCCGCAATGACCTGCTTGTGCAACTGCCTTGAGGGATGCTGCAGCCAGCTGGAAGGATGCTGCGAACTGCCCTGTGCTGCACAGCAGGGCTGGGGCAGCGAGGACAGGTGTGGGGGGCAAAGGAAGGGTCTGCTACAGGGGACAGGGACAGTGCTGCTGGCTGCCCCCCCTCCACCCGTCCCCGCAGGAGTACCCGCTGTCAGCGCTGGCCGGGATCACCTGCCGCTGCGGCTTCCCCACTACGCTCTTCACTCTGCACGAGCGCGAGGACGAGCAGCTCTGTGCCCAGAAATGTGCCGGTGAGGAGTTTGAGAGCTGCGGCACCGCTGAATATCTCCTCGTCTACCAGACCCAAGTGCAAGGTGAGCTGGCACCAGACTCACCCTGCCTGCTGCTGGGCAGGGGGACAAGCAGGGACCCCATGGGCGCGGGTACCGGCACCAGTTTCCCAAGCCCTTCCCAGGGACACTGGCAGAAAGTGAGCATGAGTTTGCAGCATCTATTTGGCTTTCATTAAAAATTACCATTTATTTTCATTTCCTGGGAAATCAATCTTCCCCTGAACAAACAGCCTGCCTGATTCAGCTGCAGGAGAGAGCAGTTTGCCATCTGCCTCTGGCAGGATCCCTCCTTGCTGCTGCTTGTCCCTCCTTGTCACTGGCAGTACCGGTGAGCTGGAGCCTGCAGCCAGCTGGTGAACCCGCTGGGGCTTTGCTAGCCGGAGCGGACAGACTCCAGGGAAATATATGGGGGAAAAAAGCTGTGACCAGGCAGAAAGTCACCAGGAGGCTGCACAGGGAGGGCTCCTGTCCCCCACTGCCCTGCAGGTCCCAGCAGTGGACCAGTCGGGACAGGGAAGCCCAGGGCGAGGGGAAACACGTTACTGGGAGAGGAAAGGGCTGAATGGAGCAAGTGAGAACCCAAATTTAGGTGGTTTTGCTTCAGAGAAGCTCAGTCTTGACACGATCCCTGCTTTGGTGTTTGAGGCCATGCTGGAAACGCTTGTGCATTTGTTGATATAAAAAGCAGGAGCGTCGCTTGGCGAATGCACCCATGTTATTCCCTCTCCTCTAATCACGCAGGCAGCAAGCAGCCAGTATTGGCAGAGCACCTCCTGCCCTCTTCATAGGACTTTTTGGAATGTTTAGAATTTTTGGGGGTGTTTAGGACTCTTTGGGGTGTCCCTGTGTGCTTTGGGCAGGGTGCAAGGGTGCCTTTCCCTATAGCGGCCACCTCCTCGCATCCTGCCCTAGCATCTTCCCAGGAGACAGCAGCACACTGTAAGGAAGCAGAATATCTCTGTAGGAAAAGCACGCTACTGTGCCCTGATGCGCCTTGGCTGGTTCTTGCTGCAGACAACCGCTGCATGGACAGGAGGTTTCTCCCCACCCGTGCCAAGCAGCTGGTGGCCCTGGCCAGCTTCCCTGGTGCTGGCAACACTTGGGCACGACACCTGATCGAGTTGGCCACCGGCTTCTACACCGGCAGCTACTACTTCGATGGGTCTCTCTACAACAAAGGTGAGACTGGGGGGGTGGGTCGCTGCCAGGGGTGCACCGGTCCCAGCTGAGCTGGGCAAAGGTCCTGGTGACATCCCTTGGGTCTGCATGAAGGGGAGGGCAGAACTGGGTACCACCGATGCTGCTCCAGAGGGTATCGGAGGGATCTGACGTTGTGTGTGCCCTGCCCGTAACCTCCCTGTGCTGCCCACTAACCTTGGCAAGGACCGATTTGGGGTAGAACTGGGGTTTCTCCATTGTGCTGGTGGTTTTTAACCTGCTGTGGGGGTTGGAACTTTCTAGAGGAGGAATCGGAGCAGCCGCGACCCTGGCAAACAAGGAAATTCCTATGGGTTTTGCCCCAAGAAAAGGCCAGTGGAGTTTTTTGATCAGATTTCTCCAGGAGCTGGTGTTTGCGGGCTTGGCACTCTCATCCCAGGATGCATAAAGTGAGAAGCAAATGAAAGTCACGGCTGCAGGGTGAGAAGGATTTGTGCAGCCTTCCAGCTTCAGGATTTGGGAGTGGGTGGTGCTGGGGGCACCGGTATCCTGGAGGACAAAAGTTCCCATGCACTTCCTGAGCAGCTGCAGATAAAAATAATGATGTGTCAGGGCACCCGGGGAACACCAACATCCAAATTAATGAATATTCACCATGCAAAAAAGCGCTGATGAGCTTACGGGGGGATGGAGGAGGGAACTGATCTCATTTGCCTGCTCTCCTCAGGCTGAAGGATTTGGTGGAGATCCATCTTCCCATCCTGGGTGACACAGATATTTGCCCAGTAAATATTTAACAGAGGAGGGATGCTGTTGCTCCCACCTCTTGTGCCTTCCGGGGAAAAGCAGCAGTGCTGTGCCCACTGTATTGGTGCCAGGGCCGATAGCACATGGGCTTTGGGGACCCCAAATTAAGCAGCAAGGATAAGTTTCAAGCCAAAAAACCCCTTGAGGCAGGCATGAAGCTTTTTCAGGCAGAAGCCAGCTCCTCCCAGTAACCCACCATATTGCAAGGGGGAGCAAAAAGACCAGTTCCCCCATTTTATAGCCATTTACAATAGTTTTATTTGTAGACCTTGAAGGTTTCTCCTGCTTTTCCTTCTCCTTTTGTGGCTTTGAGAGGAGATCCTCCTTCCCTCCTTGGCCCTGGTGGAGCTGGGATCTGTATCAGGGGTACCCATGTAGCTGGTGGGGTCTGTACCCATGCAGCCAGCTGGGGTTTGTACCCAGGGTACCCCCTAAAGCCCCATTTGCCTGACACTGTAGGCAGCAATGCACATTTCTTTGAGATTTGCCAAATTCAGCCTTTCAGAGATGGAGATGCTCTGTGCTGAGTGATGGAGCCCGGACTATATCAGCGCCTGGCACTGGCACCCATCGCAGGGTGCAGCTGGCTTCGTGCATCCCACGGAGGGGAGCATCACTGGGTGAAAGCCTTGGTGATGTTTTGCTCAACCAACCGAGCATGGGTTTCATGTTTATTCTAGGCTGAGTGCATCGGAGGGCCTGGAGGTATCCAAGCAACTAGCAGATTAGCCATCATGTCCCTATGTCACACGGCATGGCTGCCGAAAGCAAATTACACATCTATAATTGATGTAATACAGCTACTTACAGCTTATCTCCCCCCTTGGCTCAACTCTGCCGCCACCACGTTGTTCCCGGGTAGTTTGGGTTGTGCTTTGCAGGAGCTGGGGGTGCAAAGGGGCTGGGAGTGATGCTGGGCTCAGCCCTGATACTCCGTGCGGGGGCACAGGGGATGGTGGTCCCCTCCCTAGACCCCCCCCATAGCATCACCGTGGCCCTGGGCTTATCTGCAGCCCCATGAGCATGGTTTTTTTACCCTTCTTAATTTATGGAGAGAGCTTAAATGCTGTGGTCAGGGAGATTATAGCTATAAAAATACATTCTTGACCCCCCAATACAAGCATAAGGTACATTAATGCAGTATGCCATTATTTAATGCCAGTGTGTTCTGCCCTGGAGGAAAGCCGGGCTGTGCCATATTAGCCTGTTGCAGACTGTCTCACTGAGAAGAGCCGAGCATGGCTGGGGAGGAGGCAGCCCTGCTCGGTCCCCATGCCCACTACCCGCCCTCTCATACATAAATTTTACATGACTCATAACTTGGGCAAATAAATGATTGCCATCTGGGAGAGGGATGCAAATTCTACTTCAAGCTCCAGCTGCTTTTATCCAACTGTATATTGCAACCTGATATCCCCCCATCGTTCCCTTTCCCCAGCTTGCTTTTATTATTTTTATTAACATCGGCACCGGCTGCTTCTCAGGCACCCGCTTGCTCTGTCCTGGCAGGGTTCAAGGGCGAGAGAGACCACTGGCGAAGCGGGAGGACGATTTGCATCAAAACCCACGAGAGCGGCCAGAAGGAGATCGAATCCTTCGATTCGGCCATCCTGCTCATCCGAAACCCCTACAAGGCTCTGATGGCAGAGTTCAACCGCAAATACGGGGGGCACATCGGCTTCGCAGCTCACGCTCACTGGAAGGGCAAAGGTAGGCTGGTGGGCTCCCACAGGACCTGGGTGGGCAGGCTCCAGCCTGACTGCCGGAGCTATAAAGCTGTTGTTAAAGCCCAGTAGAGCCTGAGTGTGGTCCCTGTGGGGGAAGCCTGGGCTGTGCCACCCCTTTGGGGTCCCCATGTTGGAGGGTCATCTCCTGGGCTTGCAACCGGCACAACGTGCAGCACCCACCTGGGCATGGCCGAGGGTTCCCACGTGGGCGGGATGGGATGGGGAAGCGGAGATGCTCGGCTGTTTGGTGCTGTGTTGGGTCACAAGGGCAGGAGCAGAGAGGTGGCACTGCCTGGGGACACGAGGCTGACAGCAGCCTGGTGCCAGCGGGGAGGGAATGGGTCGGGTGGGCAGGAGCCCAAGGTCCCAAATTCTGCCCCTTCTTTGGAGCAGCTCTTTGAGGACAAGCTGGCCTGAGCACTTGGCTGGACAGGTGGAGAGCAAGGAAAGGTTAAAAAAATAACAGGATCCATCAGACATCTCCATCCATCACTTGGTGGGCACATATGTCGGTGTGGGGCTGCAGCATCTCCATGCTGCCACTGAAGCTGGATCCCAGCAGGATCACCCTGCCCTGCTCCCCGGCAGAGCCAGCCCTGGCATGGGCAGCACTGGGGGGTGGAAAAAAGCCCCATAACTCACTAAGGCAATAGTACCTGCAATGGGTCCTGCCTGCCACTGCCAGGTCACTCGCCTGCCTCGTCCTGCCTGTCCAGTGCGATCTCACAAGCACCCGAGTTTCTAATTAACAGGAGGAAGGCGATCTCCTCCAAGCCCCCATTATCTGTCCTTCCCCAAGGCAGAGGTGCAGGAGAATGGACCCAGCCCCAGAGGCTGCAAAGTTCCCGGCTGGGGGGAACCGGCTGCCCCTTTGCTGGGCTCTCCCTCTCGCTGGTGCCGGCAGCAGGAGCGGTGGCAGCCACCAGCCCATCTCTATTGACATTAGCAGTGGCAGAGTATTATTTCTGTGTGCCCAGCTGCTCCGGAGACACTACCTTTCCCATGCACAGGCATATTGTGGAGGCTTGTTAATTATAGCAATTTGCAAATTGCTGTTGTGGAATTGACTTCATTGGAAAGAGTTAAAATATTTAGCTTGATTGAACATCTGCTACCCTTAATTCAGAGTTTATTTAAGGGGAGCTTTTGCTGTTGTTGCTGTTATGTGCCTGGATTTCGTTATCACAATGTGCTTGTAGCGCCGGAGATGGCCCAGCCCTGCTCTCCCCACCGCCCCATCCTGTAAAACCAGGGAAAAGAAATGTCCCACTGCTTTCTCGTTGGCTTTTCTCCCTGAGCAGGTCCCTGGGCTGGCATCAGCCTTGCTGTCATGGGGTACGAGCTTCTTGCTAGTTTTTATCCCCATCTGCCGCACCCCAAAGCACAACAGCAAATTGCAGATACAGCCAGGACAGGGGATGCAGGACAGAGCCCCAGCACCATGGGAACCCTCCTGAGCCTTCCTGGTCCCAACCCCCCCACCCCTGTCCCACACCTCGTGCCCCTGTGGGGAGGGGGCGGCAGGCAGGGGGGACTCTTTCCTCCATCCCAGCACGGTCCGATTTGGACACGCATTAAAATACATCACCAAATTATTTCCAGAGGATGTATGGTGTAATTAGCTGATGGGTTAATTGTCAGGTTAATTAACCATTGGAACAACCTGCCCAGAAAGATGGAGATTTTCCATCGCTTGAGGACTTTAATCGGGCTGGGATGGTTGCTGAGAGCTGTAGTGCAGCACCAGGAATGGGTCGGAGACCCCAGTTTCGCTGACCCTGTGTGGGGGCTCAGCCCATAGAGAAGCCCAGCCATGGAGCCCAGGGGGTCCCTGTGGAACCATCAGCACCCACCCTGCCCTCCCACCAGCAGCAAACACTCCACAGGGACAGTTTGTTTGTGCCAGGTTTGCAATTAACATTCTGGAGTGTGGTTAAATAAATCATCCAGAGGACAAAAAAAAAAGTGATTAAAGGTAAGTAATTAAGACAGGGCATGGGGCTCCCATCCCCAGCCTTCCCTGTGGATAGCCCCTTGCTCCCTGCAGCCCAGCTTTCCAAACCATTTCCTTCTCCCAGGAGCTACTTTGGGGGCAATTTTGGAAAAAAAGCCGTGCCCTCTCCCCAGCCTCACCTGTGGCTGCTGGTGCTGGGGGGGGATTTTCCTTCCCCCCGCACCATTCTCAGCCCTGCATGGAGCCTGCGGTGGCCGCGGGCGCCGTGAAACCCCTGTTTGGTTCCGTGACATTAATTTTACGATATCCCTGGAGTGGTTCCAAAGCAAAGTTTTATGTGATATGATTACACAAGGTGAATTGTCCTGTATCTGTTTAATGAAACAGATACTGTGTTTAATGATTCTTCGGGGAATTAAATACAGTTAAGCTATTAATCAGGCATTGGTTTCTGGGGGAGGACAAAAGGAAGAGGCAGGTACCCAAAGCTTTTATGCTTCATGAGATAGATGTATATGGCACTGCCAGGAGAGTTGCGGTTTATTATTGATGTTTCATTATCCCTTTTATCACCTGATTTTTATGGGAGGATCAATTAGCGAGAATTGAAAGATTTCAGCGGGGAGTGCAGGCGGTAGCCCTGGGATGGGGGATGCGGGGGGTGTGGGAGGACCCGGGGGGACACCCACTAACCGTGTCCTCTGCTCCTTCCAGAGTGGCCAGAGTTCGTGGCGAACTACGCGCCGTGGTGGGCGACCCACACCCTTGACTGGCTGCGCTACGGCAAGAGGGTGCTGGTGGTCCACTTCGAGGACCTGAAGCGGGATCTCTTCGTCCAGTTGCAGCGAATGGTGGGGCTGCTGGGCATCGCCGCCTGCGAGGACAGGCTGCTCTGCGTCGAGGGGCAGAAGGACGGCAACTTTAAGCGATCCGGCTTGAGAAAATTGGAGTATGACCCTTACACCCCCGAGATGAGGAAGATGATCAGCGGCTACATCAAGACGGTGGACACGGCTCTGAAACTCCGAAATCTGTCGGGGGTCCCGGATGACTACTACCCGAGATGATGGTGACGATGGCGGGGGGACCTGACCCTGCGTGGCAAGGAAAGGCTCGGTCTTCCCGGCCTCTGCCTACTTCCACCCAGTGGGTGGCTTTTCTTTTAATTCTCCATCTGCTGCTATTAGCTGTTAATCAACTCCCTGCATGAGCAACGAATGGTCCCCAGCCATCGCTGAGCTTGCTTGGCCGATGCCGATGCTGATGCAGACCCGGGCATGGCGGCACCGCTGAGGGGATGCACGGTGCCTTCCCGCCACAGGGTTCCTGCTCCATCCCACTCCTGTTTCGGCTGCTGCAGCCCTCCTTGGCAATGCAATGGGTTATTTGTGTCCGTCCCTTCGGGCTGGCTGGAGGGGACACTGCATTGCTCATGATGTGCCTGACCACCCTCCCGCTGCCAGCACACCACCACGGTGCCACAGGAGCTGAGCTCCCCTGGGCTGGGTATCCCCAAACTCCCCTCGCTCCTTGGCCAGCCCTGGAAGGCTGCTGCCCATCCCTGGATGGAGCCCATCAGCCTTCCCAAGGGAGGAGAGACCAGGAGGGGTTGGCACCGCATGGGTGATGCTCCCATTGATCCCAGTCAGAGGTTACAGAAATCGGGAAGGCTGCGCTGGGGAGAGTGATGCCTCCAAATGAGGTGGCCGTGTGTCCCCCGTGCACTGTCCCTTGGCTCTGCAGGGACCCTCCCTGAGCCTGGGGACAGGGGGTCCCTGGGGCAAAGCTGGCATCCCCAGCCACAGCACCGGGCAATGCTGCTGCTCCAGCCCCGGTGCCATAGGGGCTGCAGCAACCTCAGCCCTGGGCTGCGGGTGGGAGCCAGCCCCACGCATGTGGGCAATGCTTGAGAGGGGGATGGTTGGCCCCGGACAGAAGAGCTTACGGGACCCACAAGCTCGTCGGTGCGTCATTTCAAAAGCTCACGAGCCAGAACAGCCCCTCAGAAGCAGTTTTGGGTGCCACATGCTGCAGCCCAGCCACATCAAACCCATGCGGCAGCAGGGAGCAAATCCTGGGGCTGAGCTTTTTGGTGTCACTCTGGCCAAATCCAGTCCCACAATGGGTCCCCCTCTGCGATGCCCACACCCTCGCCCACTGCCTGCTGAAGAGCAAGCGAAACCAAAGGATCTCCGTGCGCATCGGGAAGAAGCTGTTCACCAGGCTGGCTTTGTGCAGAGCTGCATGCGGTCCCCGGCTGTCCCCCTGCCCCGCACCACCCTCCCAGCCTGTCCCTGTCCTGACTTTTGCCGTAAACAAGCTCCCTCCCCTCCTTCCAGCCCGCAAGTCCCCTTTGGATGTAGGTGCAAAAGCCATATATTGTACGCAGCCTTTTCTAGAATTAGGTATTTAATGATTGTCTTTTAACTCTTGATCTTGATAGAAATACATGCACAGATTGAAATCTAGAGACACCGCTCAATCTATATTCAAAGAGAGAGAAGAGAACTCCACGGAGAAAATGGAGAATTTAAATAAAATATATTTTTCTAACGTGCATGCAGAGCGGACATGGGCAGCGATGCCAGGGCTGGGGGGCTCCCAGTCCCTGTTTCTTTGCATGGAGGTGGGCGAATGTGTTTATAGGGAGCAGCTGCCCTGTTTTTAACTATTCCCTTCACAAATGGCTGGAGGTTTTCTAGGAGAGTGGGTGAGCCCTGTCCCGGCAGTGGGAATTGAGCTGACCCCATGCTCCTTCACTCCTGGCGGCCCCTGGGGCTGCCTACCTCGGTCAGAACAAATCCTCAGGTCAATCCAGCTATTAAAGGAGAGTTTTTTGTTGCTATTCTGCCTTCCCGTGTATTTGTGGGGCTGTCCGAGGACTCCGGCACCCCCCACCCGTCCCAGAGCAGGGGCTGGATGTCCCCTGGGACATGGGAGCGACTGGCGGACGGCTCCTCTCCCCCAGTCTTTAATCACATTAATGTTATTCCCGCATCTAAAGTACTGACAATGCAACCAAAGTGGCTCGTTCTTGGGAGTTTTATTACCTTTATAGTGTCCTTAAAGACAGGTTTATTCGGGTGCGTGGTGGGAGCGGGGAGATTTACTGCGGGCTTTATTCCCGTTGCCTCCCATCCTTCCTCGGCTCTGGAGCAAGAGCAGGCTCAGTGCAATTTATTCCTTTTCTCTTGGCCGATTGCCCTCTTATCTGGAGTTCGTGAAGTCCCTTTTTTCTTTTATAGTGTTGGGTTTGCAGCGATCAAGACGCAAGCCGGGCGTGATTTGTTCTGACAGGCATTGTCTGAGGGAGGGGCAGTGTTCCCTTCCACCCCTCAGAAGTAATTAAACCCCAAAAGCCAATTAATCTCCAAGATAAAACAATTAAGAGATGACATCGCGTGCAGCCAACACGCTCAGGGTCCTGGGCTGCAGGTTGTGAGGCGGAAGGGGAGCCCTGGGGAGCGGGGAGGGGGGGCTGCCGCCAGCACGGGCACCCCCTGCCCAGGGATCGCCCCATCCGCACAGCCCAGGGGGGCATCGCCGCCCCCACCAAACCCCTTCAGATCTGATAGCAAGAGGACAGAGGAAGGTCCCTGAGCACCAGCAGGATCAGCTTACCTCTTTTTTTCTGCCCCCCATGGCTTTAAGGTTCACTGAAGCTTAATGCCTTTATTTTACCGCAATTGCTTTTTTTTTTTTTTTTTAATTTGCAATGAAATGGAGCAATTGGACATCATTACCTCCCTGTAAGTGAGTGCTGCACATCTGGCTGCACACGCACACACGTGCATCCCCGGCTTACAAGGGTCCGTGCCTTCGCCTCAATCTTGGCTAATGCAGGAGCAGCATTCACCGTCCTGCCGGCAGCTGCTTTCCCCGCACGCACAGCCAAGCCGCAAGCAGAAGCGGAAGGGGTATTTTTTTTTATTTTTAAATTTTTATTTATTCATTAAATGCCGGGCTACTTTTTTTACCACATGGGACTGGCATGCAATAATAAAATTTATATTCCCCCTGGAAAGAGAAGCCAACCATCCTTTCTGCATCATTTTCATGTGCAAAGCTCTTGACATTTAATAGCCACCCTGCTCGGCTGCCTCTGTAATGCCATTAGCCTGACTCGTCGGAGAGCACCGAAATGTGCAGGCAGGGTAGGCAACACTCAGCATTTCCATGATGATTTTTAAAAGCAGTGAATCTTTCCACTTGACTCAGCCTGGGCGAGCCCCGAGCATCCCCGGGTGGGAGCAGCCAGCTTGCATGGCCCCAGCATGGGACTGGGGGCCGCTGGGGGGGGTGACCTTGACCACCCTCCTCTGGCTTCCTGCATTAAAAATCATCTATTTTCTGCAATCTCTCATCCCCAGGAGCATTTTCCTGCCTCCCCGGCCCTGCGCTGGCGGAGGCTGCAGCATCCTCCCTCCCGGGCTTGATGGGTTACTCAGTCGTTGCCTTAGCAACAGCATCTGCACCAAAATTCCCCGCATTTCCCCCAATTCCGTGTGGGTTTTGCGCTCAGCAGGCCTGTCCCTGCGATGGAGGAGAGGATGCTGGAGGAGACGATGCCGGAGAGCGGCTCGGGCCAGGGATCCTTTCCCCGGCAAAGGTAGTGGATGGCCCTTTGGGGTGAATTCAGGGGGTTTTGGGCAATGACCCCAGTGATGCAAATGATGCCGGGGGGCTCAGAACAGGTCAGAGGGAAGGGGCTCCCCTTCCTCCCAAATTAAATCACACACAAAGTTCATGCTGCTGTTTAAATGAGAGGGGAATAACCCACCTCAACAGCATAATACAGAAGCTGCGACAGCACCTTCACAAAAGCTCTATAATGTAGAGGAGATGCGAGTTATAAATCGGAGCAGCAGTAATATTCATCCCTGACAAAAGAAGCATGTTTATTTATCGGCTCTACTATTTTCCATAAAATTTACAGTTGACAATCTGCCTGAATGCAGCAGAGATAATTTAAACATGGCTCCAACCCACCTGGCATCAAGGAAAGGGAAAGGGTAACATGTTTATTCTTTTTTTTTTTTTTTGCTTAATTCCAATTCCAAATAAAGGGAGTGATTTATTGGAGAAGGAAAGCACAGCTTTATTTCAGGGCCATGACAGCTAATTGAAAAAGAACAGTCATTAACGATAGTAGTGTGTTCCACAGAAATGATTTTGGTATATTCTGGAGTAATTTCCCAACTGTTCATGTCAAATGAGACCCAGCCCCAAGTTTTGGGGCCCTGCAAGCAGCGGGTAATTATGGGGAGGCAGCAGCGGGGAGGGGGCATGGAGAGGCACGAGGCAGGTTTGGCACGTGGCGAGGATGCGCTGGGCAAGGACCGGTCCTGCCGTGGGCCCCCAGCATGCTGCAGCACCGTCCCTGGGGTTCTGGGGGTGCTGAGCCCCACAGCACGTGGGGCACATGGGACTTCAATGGGCTCGTGGGGTAGGGAGAGGTGGGATGGCTGTGGCTGGGGAATGGGGTCCCGGGGTTGTGAATTGGGGGCCTGGGCTAGGGCTGGGGGTCCTGGGCTGGGGGTCGAGGTCTCGGGGCTGGGCATGGGGTTGTTGGGCCGGGGATCACTGTCCCAGCTCCCAAACCTGCTGCTCTTCTTTCCTGGCCAGCCCTGACCTATCCTAAAATCACAATCCCCATGACAGCCTTAATTGCAGGTCTCATGGGGATGGTGGCGGCTCTGAATCCCGTTCACCCCTTGACTCTTAGATCCTAAACCCAGGTGCACCCCCAGTTACTGATTTCACCAACTCCTGCCCCAAAAGGGGCCGCAGACCCCGGCTGGGAGGCTGCCACCACGCCAGCACGGAGCGGGGCTGGACGTGCCAGCCGGCCCTGGAGCTGTGGGTCCCACTGAGCCCCTTCCCTGGATGCTAATTACAGTTTTTGCACATCGTGCTCAAGTTGGCTGCAGTGTCATTAGCCTCCTGCTGACATTAATCAAGAGGATGGTGTTAATTCATAGCTAAGGACATCTCCCAGCTGAGCTGCGAGTCTATCAGTCCCTGCAGGAGTGGGATAGACCAGGGTCAGCAGGAAGCATCCAAGGACCCACAATTTAATATACTGGACCTTCCCATCACCACAGGGGACTGCAGCCAACACAGCAGGGCGAGCTTCTCTCCCCTGGATGAACAAAATGTATGGCACTGCAAAAAAACAGGAGAGCTGAAAGGATGCATCTTCGCCCGC